GTTTTTAAAAAGAGTAAGTGAAAAACTCAAGCAGATCAATTGTGTGGACCCATGTATATAACAAAAAACACATACATTGTTTGATACTCTTCTTGTTTTTTATTTTTAAGAGATGGGGGTCTCTCTCTGTCACCCAGGCTGGAGTGCAGTGGCAAGATCTTGGTTTACTACAGCCTCAAGTTCCTGGGCTCAAGCAGTCCTCCCCAAGGCTGGGATTACAGGCCCATGCCACCATGCCCAGCTGATACTATTATTCACTTATTTTGTAATCATGAAGGTTCATTAATCCCCATGTTTGGCATGGGGAGGCACCAACTGAATATATGTGGGGTACCTAGTGTTTTCTCAGAACCATGTTTGACACCGTGAAATAAAGAATAGTTTCTGCTTTCAAAGATCTTACAATCTCAATAGGTGAAATCATACCCTAACGGGTACAATGTACACTATCTGGGTGATGGGTATACTTATAACTTTGACTCAAGTAGTACAAAAGCAATTCATGTAACCAAAACATTTGTACTCCCTTAATATTCTGAAATTAAAAAAAAAAAATAAGATCTTAATAATCTAGTTGGGAAAACAGAATACTCATTCATGAAAGTAGAAAACAATTAAAACCATGTTCTTAGCCTAAAATTTCAAAGCTGTTAAATAGAATAAAATGATTTCTGAAGTCACAGCTATTAAAATTTTAGAACTTGAATGTGTTCGAAACTTCATGGGACGGGAATAGGGAACATGGAAGCGAGATATAAGAATTACATAAGAATCAACCCTGAGACGTGGTGGCACATTGAACCATTAATCATTTATCAGTACATATTTAGATGAAATAAATTGGTGGCCAGAGCTCGGTATGGAGCAACGTGGGACAATGTCCTTCTTGTTTTGTCTTTTCTTCATCGGTTAGGCCTTGTGGGTTAAGGTAGGGCACACACATGGGGGGAGGAGGAAGCCAAGAGGGAGAGTTCTGTCCATTGTGAGCAGTTGCCTCAGGTAAAATCTTTAACCCAAACTGTTCCTGAGCCACATCCTTTTCCCCTAGAAGCCATTTCATTGACACATTTTTCAGCTGCCAGGAATATTCAAGGTCTCCTAAAGCTCAGGGCTGAAGCTTTTAAGGATGCACCCAGAGACCGCTTACCCAAAGAACTGTTGCTTCAGCCAGTGAGTGTTAAGTGTCACAGGAAATATGAAGATGTCAAGGAGAAAGACAGAAGGTGTTCTGGGTTAGCAGAGTCTCATAAGCAACAGATCAGAGGTGTGTCATGCAATTTTAAGTTTACAAATAATTGAAAGCTAATCATTCAAGCACTAAGCCTTTTAACAGATGCTGACATAAATATTTCTAAAAATTATTTCATAACTGACCTTTTCTTGCTGTCTCAGTGTTATCATTGTGTGAGTGTCATTATCTGTATTGTATAATCTAAAATATCAGTGTCCTTAAATGTCATTGCTCCATATTGGCCTGTTTGGCCCTTAACTGAATGTACTCAGTCTGTAAAGCAATTCCGGTTAGCATTTCCACCATGTCCCTTTGAGACAAAATCTGTACTCAGTCATCACTGTATCTGTTTCTTGTTATCCTTTTTAGGTTTCCTATTCTTTGTCAGAGTATAGCTTTTGGAGCCAAAATGCCTAAATTCAAAGTCTGGATTACTCATTACTAGGTGTGTGATCTTGGACAAGTTATGTAGTCTCTCCATTCCTCAGTTTCCTTATCCATACACAATGGAAAAAAAAAAATAGCGGAGAAACCAATAGCGCCTACCCGTATCACATAGGAGTGCTTTCAACTGCAATTAGAGAAAGCACAGTAACAGTTGCTTATATCATAAGCACATTTATTATTGTTCTCAATAAGAATCTGGGGGTAGCAATCTCAAGGTTAATTCTACGGTTTAATATCATCACAGATCCCAGATCTGTCTTTCAGCTCTGTGATCTAGCTCTTCACCAGATGGCCAACAGGAAGAAAGAAAGGGAGCAATTCCAATGAGCCCTCCTCTCATGCCTGATCCTAAGGATGCAAATGTTTTCCCAGAGCCCCTGCTTCCCAGCATACTGGCCTTTGCATGTCACTGGCCAGAACTCAAGTCACATAGCCATTTCTGGCCACAAGGGAGGCTAGGATACAAGTGTCCAGCAGAGATAATTAAGATTGTCATGACAGTCTCAGACCAGCAGTGATTGCTACATTTGTATACATTGCAAAGTGAACAACGGGCAAGGTCCTGTTAGCAAGACGAGAGTAACAGTTGGGAAGGCAATGGAGGACAGTGTCGGCCACTCCATGAAGGTAAAAGGACTTAATCCACGTAAAATGCTTAAGCCAGAGCCTGGAACAGAGCAATATATGTTAGAAATCATCATCACCACCACTATTATTAGTACTTATAGTTTTATTAGCTTCCTACTTCTCATTGTTTTCACAGATAAGTCTGTTTTTCCCTCAGCTTTTTTTTCCCCTCTGGTCTTTTTCCCCTCCTGTTCCTTTTGCTTCTATCATGCTTCTTAGCTTTCACAACATTAAGACTTAGCTTTCATAGCTACTCACTCAATGAAAGTGAGACTGTTTAGCTATTGGGTTAACAGCTAATTAAACACATACATATACAATATTCCAAGTACTAGTTTAACTGTTCTACATGCAACACCTTATTTAAAACTCATAATACTCTTGTCACCATTTTATAGGTGAGGAAACTGAGGTTGAATAATGGGCCCAAGGTGACACAGCTGATAAATAGATGGTGGTAGGTCTGTTGGACCAAACTTTAAACCGCACCCATATCACACTGTGATATCTTCTTTAATCCTTCAAAACCTGGAGCATTATGCTAAAATTTTATGAATTCTTTATGGTCTTATGGCTAGTCTGGAAAATAAAAGGTTCAGATAGCAGGATAAGTGGGCTTTTTATGTCATAAGTAATACAAATGAATTAGTTTGCCGGAAGAAATTGATGAAGATCCTGAAATACTAGGCTGAGTATTTTAAACTTTGTCCTAAAGAAAATAGACATGGATTATAATTTGTACATTACACTGTTAGGTTATGTTTGGGGACTACAGACCCCTTTGAGACTATGATGGAAGATAAGGATTCTCTTCTTAGGAAAGTGTTATGCACGTTAATTTGCAGATTATTTCTGGGATTTTAAGGAACACCCTCCCCATCCCCC